GAGATCTTTTTTTTAAGAAACTTTTTAAAAGAACTTACCTTGGTATTCTTTCTTTTGTGCATACAGTTATTTTTAATTTCGCTTATATTTTGATTCGTTTAAAAAAATAAAGTTGAAATAAAAGATCAATAAATGTCTTTAAACTGAATTCAAATTTGACACTAAACTTTAAAAAAAGACAAGATTTTAGATAAATAACAAACGTTGCAAAAGTCAAACAATAACACTTTTCAAGATGTCTCAGAAACGTTTGTATCCAGTTTTTAAAATTTTGAAATGACAGCCTTTTACAACCACCATTGAAATATTTCGTGAATTAAATTCATCTGACATGCAACTGTTATTCATCTGACAACTGACATGTAGCTTAAATTCATGTAACAATTCATCTGATATCTGACATGTAACCACTTAACTGTTTAAATTGAATCTTTCTTTTTCTCTCTCTGCTAATCAGTTTGTTTCTTATTTTACAGTTGCTGAACAAACGATCCAATTTTGGATTTAAGACTACTAATATCTTACGACTCGTTATGAACCCATTCACGAAGACGAGGAAATTCATGGATCAAGTTTTGGAAGAAATTTTGTTTTCGTGGAGGACTTTTTGATGAAACTTATCCGCATTTGCGTTTCAAGGAAGAGGAAAATCACGAAAACCTCCCACGGTCAGTTTCATGGCAAGGGGACTTAAACCCATGATCTGTTTACCACTTAGGATGTTCTATGTTAACACTGTGGTCTGTGCGAGCTGGGTGCGGAATTCGTTTCGACCAGCCATCTCTATGATTCGAACCAGGTTCACTTCATCGGAAGGTGAACCCTCGGAGCCACCACGGCTCTATAAGAGGGAGGGGGGGGTAATGTCGAATACGCATTTAATTGTTTGATTTTAATATTCACAAATAAATTAATGAAAACAAAATAATAGATCACCATCCAATCAAAATGAGAGTTATGGTGCACGGTATTTTATAATTTCTTCTCATTTTTCTTACAAAAGTATAACAATACTATTTTGATGTCTATTTTTGCACAAATAGTAAAATAATAATCTACGTCAGACCATTTTTTTACATCCTTTTCCTTTTAGTTTATATTAAATAAATTTTCATTAATTAAATCGGTTACGAAAATGTAAGTTAAATTAAAGCTAAATTATTCAATATTGAATTACAATATTAATTACATATTAATGTTTAATATTAAATTACCAACTTAAAGCTAATTTTAATCTGCATAATTTTTATTTAAAGTGTAAAGAAATAGCAAAGAAAAAAGTATGAATCGTTGCACTATTTTTAATATATCTGAAAAAATAAAGAATTTTTTTCACATTCTTCAAAGGTAATTAGCAGTAAAATATGAAAACCTCCCAAAACACAGAAATGGAAATGAAAATGTTGATAAAAAATCAAAGGAGGTTGAGGTTAGGGACTATTCAGTGGAATTGAATACCTACGTATTACTTACTACGCACTACGCGTTAATTATATGAGCTGTTCAAAATTTTCGGGTCGAGTGAAATAATATTACTCAAATTTACCCACACAGAGAAACATAATTCTAATAAAATTACCGTTTTGTATGTTGATGACACATTTCTGGTCAAAAGACCCGTAATTCTGGTTAATAAAACCAAAATATATGGTATTTAAGATATTCTTTTGGTAATTTTCCGTTCATACGAAAATTGTTTACCTGGTTTTCAAAATAACATTTCTTATTATCACAAATTTAGTGAAAACTATTACCGAATAAATGATTTTAATACTATACTCTACGATATCATGATAAAATTACCACATTTTATCACATATTATAAGACCATATTTTACTTTTAATTTTATCAAAATTTCGTAAGTAAAAATTATCGAGTTTTTGGAAATTCTAATAGAGCCAGAAACACTGCAAATTTTAATATATTCTGGTGACTTCGACGTTACTTTTTTAGGGCATTTTTAAAAAGGTACTTATCAGGAAAATGTAATCCTTCTTAAACTTGGTTACACAGTATTAGGGTTGATATGAAGGAAACTGTTACATTTTGTTTTATTTGCTACAAATACCAAAAGTTACATACTAAGTATTTGTATATAAATTTTATTAAACATAATATTTTTAGCAAACATTATTAATCGTTTAAAAATCAAGGTAGGCAAGAAAGACATTTCTGAGCTAGCTTTAAAATAATAATGTTATTTCCAGAACAAAATATTTTCTTTATAAGTCGGTATAATTAGTTATAGATGAATACTAAGTATGTAGAATTTGTATACAATGTAAGACATATTAAAATTCTTCATATCTTCAGAGAACAATGTCTTGGCAATGGCACTGAATTCAAATTGCAAGATTATTATATTAAGTAGGGCATATAATAAAGCAGTTTAATAAATTCGTAAAAAAAAAAAAATTCGGAAAATAAAGTTTTTTACGAATGAGAAATAAAAACCCTCAGAATGAGGCGAGTTGAAATACAAATTCAAGTTCAAGTTAGTGAAAATATTCAAGCTCACGCTTTCGCATGATATATAATGAAATGAAACGCTTAACTGTTTGAAATGCTAAATCAGTAGTGGGCAATTCCGTTTTTACGGATGTAACATTGGTAGACTTTAAATGAGTATAACTTAAATTGAAATTTTCAAATACTTGTAATATCTGTTGTATGGATAACTCTTGGAGTCCTCTGAACTTGTTCTGAAACTTTTTAACTTCCGTGATTTTTATTTCTGAAAAAAAGAAAAACTGACTGTTATAGTAACGTAACTGTTAACGCAACTCACACAAATGTCGAAACTGGACAATAGACAATTTGTTTATATATTTCTACGAATTATACCAATTTTTTTAAATGCATATTAAGGAGATTATAAAGTTCTTTCAAATATTTACATTTTAAAGATTGTGACTTTCAATAATTATAAAATGCACCAACTAATTTATTCCTGAGTTAAGACTTTATGAATTTAATCTATTAAATACAAAATGGAATCCAAAAATAAATGAAATATTGCAAAAGGAAATTTACTTTTAATAATAAACAGTCTTAGTAATTTTAAGAACAAATTGCTAGAAAGAATTTTATTAATCAATTTTTCAGTCAAACAATACTTTTTATACCCTTCTTTTATAAAAGAAATAATTAAATAAATTTAGATAGATGCTTTTGGATTAACATAAATTCCTAATTTTTTTCTTAATATATATTTCTTAATATATATCTTTCTTAATATTTTAAAAAAGTAAACAAACTTTATTGAATTTATGTAGATTCATCTAAACAGTCAAGAGTATTAATGTTATACATTACTAAGCTTTACTAATTTATGTATTCGTTAAATAAATAAACTGTTTGCTCCAAAAAATCTCATTTCACAAATAAAAAGTTTCCCTCTGACAATAAAAATCAAATTGGATTTTTTTAAAACTTAGTAGTTATACTTTTAGAGCAGTTTACTAAATATCATGAATATTATTTGAATTTCTTTTTGAGCTGAATAGTTTTACTATAGATCAGCTTTCAACACTTCATGAATATGAGTTATATTGTGATTTACTCATGTTATAGGCTCTAAAATGGTTTTCTTAACTTGAATGTGTGGATTATACTTTGAACTACTGAGGTCATTAACTTTTTTAATAGAATAAATAACCTTAAAATTACGTGTGTTTTTTTTTTTCAAATATGCTTGTGAGAATTAACGTCGTACATCCTATTACTACTTGAACACTAATGCACAGCACAACTTTTCGAATTTCGGAGAAACTGTATTAATGACATCAAAAAATATGTCATTATTCATAACAATTAATATCTTTCAGACAGACATATTAAAGTATAAATTTCTTAAAATAGATTTGTTAAAATAACTAACTGTTGTTAACATAACTTACACAAATGTCGAAATTGCACAATCCGCGGTTAATTTATATATTTCTATAAATTATTTAAAACCAAAATTTTTTTATATATATTTTGGAGATCATAAAGTTTCCAAAGACATTTAGATTTTAAAGATTGTGACTTTTAATAATTATGAAAAACACAAACTAATTTGTTTCGGAAAAACAGTTGATGTTCCGGACGTAGCTTAATATTTCTATCATAAATTCATAATCTTTCATAATCATATCATAATATTTCTATCATAAATTCATAATCATATTATAATATTTCTATAATAAAACTCATAATTATTTTAATAATTATAAAATTCATTAACTAATTTGTTCCGGACGTAACACACTATGATTTTAAATTATGAAATACCAAATGGAACCCGAAAATAAATGAAATGTTATAAAAGGAAATTTACTTACAATTAATAATAAACAATCTATTGATTTCCAGTACACATTTAGGAAAATATAGCTAGAAAGAATTTAACTAACAAATTTTTGAAGTTAACAAATACTTTTTATACCCTTCTCTTGTAAAAGAAATAATTATATACAAACAGTAAAATAACCTATCTACCCAATGAAGCCTATTAATCAAATTAGGCTTTTATTTTCAATTATTAAAAAATACTTTACATAAAATATATAGTACTCCTCAGATTTCATGAAAATAAAAGATCTTACAACAGAAATTTAAAAATATAAAATAGATAATTGAATAAAAATTATTTAATGAGTTCTTCCTTTGCTAACTGTATATTGTATATTATTTATGTACAAAATGTATTGAATTATAAAGTTTTTGGTCTATTTTAAAGCCTTTTAAAGAAAAAAATGATTTAAAGTTCATATTCATAAACTTCTTTAGCAATTGTGTGAAATACATTTTAACATTATAAACTGAATTGATACTGATTCAGAAATTTACAGTTATATTTTGGGAAATTTATAATATTTCTACCACAAAATTCATAATCATATTATTTATGCAACTATTTCGATAAATACATAGAATATTATTTAACAAACCCTACACGATTAACCAGGCAAAACAGTGATAGTTTTTTTTCATTAATTTTCACATTTTGAAACATTTAAGTTCGCAATTTTTGGCGAGCAGCAACTACTAGGGCAAGAAATTTACATGTGAAATCATTTTTCATTAAATATCTCCAACCTTGTGTATTAGATACCACCGAAAAATGTTTCACAATAAAACTAACAGCTAAATCTTTCAATTTTATGTCATTATGCAATTCAGCTAATTGCAAGACATCGCAAACAATATTAGCCACGTCATCAACTGATTCTGATAGTTTGTTTTGCAATATATCAGAACAAGCGTACTGTAACGCTGGTACATCATACTTGTCACCTAACGAATACAGTGGCACAACAGTGTCCATTGATAGATCTTCAATCTCGCCAGTGTAGAGGTACATCAAAAACTTTTTAAACGGAATCTCAGAACAATCAGTGATGGTAATAGAATTGGATGAGGATTCTAAGCAGTCATGTTCCAACATTTTCTTGAAAACTGGCGAGCGGGAACATAACATGAACTTGTGAGCACGAAGTATGTTTTCCCCAATGCGAATTTCTAAATCACACATTTCGCCTGAAGTATAAATAGATCTTAAATCTTGAATTAACTCGTTCGGATTATCAACATAAGGTTTGTTTCTTGACTCTTCGTTAACTGGGGCTGTGAGAGCTTTGGGTAGTTTTAACTGGAGTGTAAAAAGAAAATTTTCTGAAGTTGAATACAATTCATATGTTAAGTGAAATTCACATATCTTCGTTCTTGATGTGAAGCCACATTCATCCACAATCCTAAGTGATGTCAATGGATAAGATTGCCCATTTGAAGTGAAGATCTTAAGACTTACACTGGACACTTTACTTGGAACATAACAGTCATCAAAGTAGAAAATAATTACACAATTATTGAAAAAGACGTCTAAACGGAAAAGCAAATAACAGTCTGAGAATGAACTGCATAAAGTACCGAAAATAGGACTCCTACATGAAAAGAATGGTCCTCTCTTACAAAAGTGCCAATTATATGAAAATTCATTTTCAGAAATTTTTCGACTCTTAAGTTCGCCAACTTCTTCCATGTTAATTTTATTTTCGTATTCACTAAATTTGTATCATAACAAACAAAAAAATAATTCATGAAGCATATCAAAATAAAAGGGAAATATAGCTGATTTTCAATCTATGTACTGAAAAAAGAAAAATAGTTTCAAATTGAAAGATACCTTATCACAAGTAAGTTTGCGATGAAGTTACTGATAATAAAGGGTTGTCAAGGCAATAAGGGAGATAATCTAAAAAGCTTTAGGATTTCTCAAAATTTATTTTGATTTAAAATAAATAATATCTGAAAGCTAGATGACGGGAACTGATGTCTAAAAAATAGCAATATTTTCTACAAAGTCTAAACTTTCTATTAAACAGCAAGGTAATAAATAAAGAAAATGAAATAAATAAATAAAGAAAGAAAGAAAAGGAAAATGAAAGAAGAAGAAGTACAATACAAGAAAATGGTTATAACTCAAGAATGATGTCTTACGGTTAAATAGTGGAGAATAATCAAAAGATATTTGAAATTTTATTTAAAAATTCTTTTGTGGGATTGAGTCATAAGAAACTAAAATACTCAAACCCCCTGAGCAGAGTTTTTTGGGAGAGAAGATGTTATCCTATTGACACCTTCTCTCCAAAAACAATTATATTTTAGCAAAACCTTTACTGAAACCATGATATTTAGTCTCTCTCTCCTTCTCAATTAAAGTTAGAAATAGGATTTTTTTTATCATCTTATATTTTTACAAGATATATTTACAAATTATATTAAAATTGTGTTTCAAAATGCTCCTTCGTCTAAAATCATAATTTTTAAGGTTACTACCAATTTCAGTTTTCGATTAATTTTATTTCTTAGCAACTGAACTAATCTAAAGAACAGAAGTGAATAATAATACAAAAATGATCTATAGTCCAAAAATAACCTAATAAGGTAAAAAAAAAAAATGGGAGTAAAGATCGAAATGAAATTTTTGGTTGCTATGGTCAGTAACAATTCAACAAGTCATCTATAGCAATTTCACATTTATTTTTATTTTTCGGGCGTTGACTGTTCAGTAATATTATTTTTGATTCCTTTTCTTAATTCTGTAGAATTTCAACAGAATTTTCAACGCCAAGGCCCTGTGCGATTGTTGTTTTCCAGTTTCTGCTGTAAGTGTTAATGAAAAAGACCAGTGATATAGTCTTAAAGGGACATCATGAGACAAATAAAATGCTATTACAAATGATCCAGTGATGATTGAAAGTTTTAGCAGTATTATGCTAAGATGAATTTCTTTCACTATAATGATTGATCTCGTCTTATCTAGTTTTTGGGTGTTCAAGATCATCAATGTATAATCATCATGATCATACATTGATGTATGTCATCAAGATCACCGTGTTTATGCAAAAATATAAGGAACATAGCTAAAATATTCTTTGAATAAATCTATATTTCTTGAATAAGGAATCAATGATCGATGAAGTATTCAATTTCGAAAGCACTTTTGTCTCCCGCTCGAAACCTTCTTTAAAAGAAAAATAAATGGTCAGTTGAAATGTTTTATGTTATCGGGAAAGACGGGTACAATGAAACATTCTATTTAAAGCCATCCAAGCTTGTCACTTGAAGTTACAGTTAAACTATATGCTATGTAGACATATGTTCCAGTTACTTTTATAATTTGAATGCATTTAAACTTTTGTAAACTAGCAAAAGAAAGTTACTAAATTTTAACCATTGACAGTAAATTTTATTTTAAAAGTAATTTCGTTATTTTTTTATAGGAAATAATATTTTTTTATGTATAATAAACTGTTGTTGTTATTGCTATATCTCTGAAACAAAAATTTAACAAAAAATTTATATGAGATATTAATTCTATTTTTTAATATCGCAATTAAATGCGGGAACAATATCAGTCGGGGTAAAAAAAGTAGCAACGATTGAAACAAATTTCATTGAGCATGAGGGATTCTTTTACTTATATAAACATTTTACTTATAAAGATAATATCTTTATGTTAAATTAACATAATATTGGTTGTCTGTAACAAGAACTGTAAGGAATTTTCTGTAAAAGTATGTGGTGGTTATAGTTAAAGTTATCCTATACAGTAACCCGTAACCGGTGGTAAGTAGTACCCGTTCTACTTATCAAATTTCGATGAAACTTAGTATATAAGCTGTATGGACCATGAAGAAATGAATTCTGCAAATAGTTCAAATTGCAAAAAGGACAAAAAATCTGTCTGAATCACTTAAAATTTAATTAAAAAGCAGAATACGCTCAGCGTGTGATTCATTGACACCGGGTAAATCTGGGAGAGTTTCGTGATTTTCCTCTTCCTCTAACGAAAGTGCGTTAATTTCCGTCAAAATGTCCTCTATAAAGGCTTACGGAATGAACATTAATAGTCATAAACTCAGAATTGAGTTGGCTGTTAAACGCCGGTTATAAAATGAATTACAATTACGTGATGAAAGGGCATTAAAGCGTGTTCAATGGTAGCGCAAAGAAATTATCGAGAGATTTCAGCAACCATTCGTTCAGCAACCAATCGTATCAGCTACCTTTCATGGCTTTCAACTTATTTAAATTCCTATTTCCTCATCTATAAATATGATTTTACATGAATCTCCATAGCCAGAGCTTACAGTAATTTAATCGGCTGAACTAGGAGGCCAAGCACGAAACAGTTATTTGACGTGTTTGAAGCAGTTATTGCCCAACGTGGAAAGTTTCTCCATCTTGAATGAAGACTGTAGTTTGAAAACATTGCAGTTGTTGTGAAACAGGAATAACCTGTCGTCGAGGGAATTTACAATTTACTGTAACCCGCTCACTCGAGACAAAGCACATTTTATTAGGATTTAAAAAGTAAGAGGTTCAAGAAAGGAGAAAGAAAAAAAATGATTCAAGGATAAACAGAATGCAGTGGTTATTTGTTGGTACAGGACGTTAAGAGGTGAAGTATCCTAGATGCGAAAATTTAAAATCCATCTAAAGAATAGTGTGCCTCATATGATAATAGAACTTGCAAAAGTCGCGCGTTAACAACTTCCCTTCTTGGCAAAAATTAGCAAGCAAATTTAGAGCGTGTTTGGCGGTCTTGAGGTAACAGAAAACCTCGCTGTTCTCGTACTGAAACCATTTTTAATTGTGTCACAGAATTCTCCGTACTGTTGACAATGGAATCGCCAATTTACGTGAGCAGTTGTTGAAGAATAGGTGGAAGAGGAAGTTTATTCAATTTCAAACACAACAGCCTCCGCTTCTTCAGACCCTAAACATATACATGTACGAAATCAGGTAATACAAAACTATCTCTGAGTAAATATACCTTTTTTTCCAAACGTATTTGGATTTTTGAATACGCAACTATGCGGGTAGCCGTTATCTGGAGAGTATGTTTTTAATAGTGTATTCAGGAGATCGGTTGAAAGTTTCCACCCCTTGATGCTAATTTCATTTTTGCGGATTTAGCAATATTTTGGGAAGTTTTCAAGAGAAAATTTCTTACTCATAATTATTGGATTCGTTTACCCAAAGATAATTCCACATTAAAAACAAAAATTTTATTAATCATTTATTATTTTATGAAATAATGGTTAAGAATTTTTTGAATTGTAAATTATGAAAATTTTTATCCCATTTTAAGCCATGCAATTATAAATGAAAAAAAAAATACTAAATTGAAAGAAATCGGTCGAATATTTTCCAAATAATAGAATTTCATAAAAGTCATTTTTTAAAATTTCATTTCTTAAGAACTATTCGAACAATTTTGTTTATATCTTGGATTTTTCATTTAAAATAGTACAATTTAAAACGGTGTAAGAATTTTTATACAATCAAATCTTTATTAAGAAGTTTTTTTGGGGTGAGATAATTTGCGTCTTGTCTCTTAATTTCTGATGAAACTAAGTCGTTTGTATTCGGAAATAATACGAATAATTAGGTTTAATTAAGTTTATAAAAATAAATAGGTTCGCGAGATCTTTTTTTAAAACTATTTAAAAAAGCTTACCTACCTTACCTACTATTTACTTTACTATTCTTTCTTTTATGCTATTTTTAATTTTCCTTATATTTTATTATTCGTTTAGAAAAATTATGTTAGAATAAAAGATCAATAAATGCCTTTAAACTGAATTCAAATTTGACACAAAACTTTAAAATAAGATAAGATTTTAAATAAATAACAAACGTTACAAAAGTCAAGCAATAACACTTTTCAAGAAGTCTCAGACACGTTTGTATCCAGTTTTTAAAATTTTGAAATGACAGCCTTTTACGACCACCATTGAAATATTTCGTGAATTAAATTCATCTGACATGTAGCTTAAATTCATGTTACTTAAATTCATCTGACATGTAACCATTTCACTGTTTTAATTTAATCTTTCTTTTTCTCTCTCTGCTAATCAAATTATTTTCTATTTTACAGTTGTTGAACAAACGATCCAATTTTGGGTTTAAGACTACTAATATCTTACGACTGCGTAGTCTTGTAATTATGAACCCGATCACGAAGACAAGGAAATTCATGGATCAAGTTTTGGAAGAAATTTTGTCTTCGTGGAGGACTTTTTGATGAAACCTATCCGCATTAGCGTTTCATGAAGAGGAAAATCACTAAAGCCTCCCACGGTCAGTTTCATGGCAAGTGGACTTAAACCTATGATCTGTCTACCACTCAGGATGTTTTATGTCAATACTGTAGTTGGTGCGAGCCGGGTGCGGAATTCGTTTCGACCAGCCATCTCTATGATTCCAACCTAGTTCAATTCATTGGAAGGTGAACCCTCGGAGCCACCACGGCTCTATAAGAGGGAGGGGGGGAATGTCAAACACGCATTTAATTGTTTGATTTTAATATTCACAAATAAACTAATGAAAACAAAATAATAGATCACCATCCAACCACAATGAGAGTTATGGTGCACGGTATTTTATAATTTCTTCTAATTTCTTATCATTTTTCTTACAAATGTATAACAGTACTATTTTGATATCTTTTTTTTCACAAATAGTAAAATA